TTAGTTGGCGAGTTGACGGTGTGCACTCGGAGGAAAGTGGAGGCAGGATGAGGATTGAAGGCTGCGTCCCCGCGGCACCTCCTTCTTCAAGACATGCATGAAACTGCGAATTGCGTTTCGTGCCGTCCTCGCGGGATGGCACAGCTGAACGCGGCATGAAGCTGTCACGGTAGGACCCTGCCTCTGTATAGAAGTAATTTCTTGCTTCTCCTCGGGCAGGAACGGCAAGGACAAATAGACCAAGCAGCAGGATGCATGTTGTACTTAAGATGCTCCAAGTATACTTGGTGTCCGACAATGTCCTCGAAGAGCGTAGGCATGTGCTTGTGCCATGCTTCGCGGCCTGTAGTTGGTGGGAAAGGACCCTACGAAACAACTGCAGACTTGATTCAGACCGCGACCTTTTTCGTCCGCGAGGACGCTCTGCAGATCACGGGCAGTAATCCGCCCGTCCTCTCAGAAGTCGAAGCCAAGCTTGCATGTGGCCAGCCAGTGCTAGGACGGATCAGTGCCTGGTCAACATCAAAAGTAGCGAAGGCTGCATCGATGGCACGATTGTTCCGACAAACCTGCGGGTCTACGTCTGTGCTTGAAGGCTGGAAGGAAGGTAAGCTAAAGCAACAGTAGGCTTCGGACAACATACCACATCGCAGCTGCAGTGAACTCAGTCCTGCCGACATGACGCCGCATGCACTGAAGCCACAAGTAACTCAGCAGCTTCGCTTGTTGAGCCTCTATCAGACCTCGTGCTACCGACCCGAGATGGGCCTTATGGGCCTTGTATCTAGGAACCCAATGTTCCTACACATCAACAGCGGTCCAGGTAATCTGTCCATCTCGTCGGTGATCGAGGGCGTGGCAAACCCGCTCGGCTGCCACGCCTCCCATTCCACTCCTGGCAGTCACGGTTGTCCTTGAAGTAACCGAAAGCCGTGTCTATTTCGGCAACTCCTCGCGCGATTGCCTTTCAAACCCTGAGAGCAAGGCTTAACCAGCACAGCTTTCAGATCCTGGGCACTGAGACTGCCTCAGGGACGCAGGTCCCACCCCATTCTTCAAAGACTAAGGCGGCTGAGGGCTGAGGGCCCCTCCCTGGTTCCGCACGTCAAAGTGTGTGAAAAGTGACCGGAGCTCCACGAGGGCCTGACTGCGCTTCTCGGAAGCACCGAAGCTCGCGAGTAGCAGCTCTCTGCTCTCGAATGTGCTGATAAGCTTCGGCAGGGCCCTGACTGTTTTTTGCACTTCGTATTGATGCGCCAAAAGCAAGAAGATTCCCTTGCAGTCGCTTCAAACAAACATTTCAGTCAATGCCATCTAGTCTCACCAGCACAGACACGAGAAATTTGCGAAAGCGGCCTTGCGAAGCTCCGGCATCCTCGCGTAGGACTCAACCTGAAACCCGACATTTTTCCGTGTCCCGGCCATCGCCAGCCACTGGCTCGGGTCATTGCAGCTCATTCGAGACATTGCTGAGAGCCGCGCGCATTGAAGCACGCCGACAGAAAGGGTTGGCGGAACCTGCTTCATGCTGCAAGCAGCGCGCGCTTCATTTCAGCCAGCGCAGAAGCAGACTCATGAAAGGACCTCGCTGTAAGCTGAGAACCAGGGATGCTCCAAGCACTGGGTGGCATCTGGACCTTCGCATTCTATCAACCTACCAATCCGACATCAGCATCTTTGCAGCTAGGTCAAGGACGGGATGCGTCATCCTTGTCCAGCATGCGCATTAAAAGGTCATTGCCTCGGCTGTGGCACAACATGTCTCGCTCGCCCGTGCTCAGAACATCCACCAAGACTAGGCTTCAGCAGACATCTTGCCAAATGCAGGCCTTCTTGAGAGTTTATTCGCTCTTATTCCAGTCATGTGATGTACAGCAGGTCATCAATTCGACGACCTTGCACACCATCAAATTAAAGAACATGTGCCGATGCCCGCAGTCCAGGATCAGATCCTTGAAGCCTTCAATTGCAAAACTGCATGACTTGCAAGTTCGACACTCAGCCGGATTCTACGTTCATCTTTGCTTGGGCGCTGTCACTTCGGGGGAAGTACACAAGCAGCTTCGTTTTGCTATGGTCTGAAGCCGGGGCTGTTTTACCGATCGAAGTGACAGCACGCAAACAAGATCGACTCACCTGGGGATGAACTGTACATGTCTGTTTGGCTAACGCATATTTGCCAAGCTTTGTGGCACAGAGAGCGCTGCCGGCAAGAACCGAATTCGACTCACCAGACGTGAAGAGAGCACAAAAAGCCCGTGCAGCTCGGCTTAGCCACGAGCTTCTGCTCCCAATGCGGCTGCCCAGATTCCTGATACTCCCACTTGAAGCCCTGGCCGGCCGGCCTTAGTGAACAGTGAGGGTCCCTCCTGGAAGCCGAAGAGACAGCACCCGACTTCCCCGACTTTGGCCCGTGCTGACTTGGCAGGCGATGCGGATTGGTCAAGTCCGACAGGCTCAGCTTGGCTTGGTGCCAGTGCCTTTCCCCGTTCTCCTTGTACCACTTCCACATGTAGCCCACGCCCGCCGGGACCTCCGGAGGATGAGCTCTGGTCGCCTCAGAAAGGCGATGAACGGGGGGGGGGGCCTCCGTCGCCGGAAGTCTTGGCTTTGGACTCCGCCTACGGCCTGCACCTTCTTTTACCCAAGGCTCGTTTATCCACCCTGCTATTCTCAGCTGCTTCCAGCGCCCAGTCTGCTCATCGAAATGCCACATGAATCCATTTCCAGCAACGGGGGTTGGAGGATTGAACTGGTCAAGTGTGTGCCAATCGGGTATAGCAACTTGGGTCCAAAGACCTGGAGCATCCTTGTGCGAGACGAACCTCCACATCTCACCATTGCCAGCATACTCCCTCGGTGGGTGATTTGCACTGTCGGCATACCAGTCCCTGATCTCTTCTTGGGTCCACTCCTTCTGCCCACCCTTGTCCACATACTGCCACATAAAACCTTGCCCGGCTGGCTCTGACGGAGGATGCGCCGCACTGTCTACATCCCAGTCAGGGATGATGTCCTGACGCCACACCCCCCGACCATTCAGCGTGACTCCTGAGTACAGCAAACACAGACACACCAACAGAAAAGGCTCACAACACGAGTTGGCCAGCCCCAGAAAATCGGCCAGGGAACGATTCCACATGAGCCCTGCGCCAGCTGGCAAGTGAGGGGCATCACGAGCGGTCCAGCCAGGGATGAAATGCTGCTGCCAGGCTCCGTTTTGAAAGATCCACATCAAACCGTTTCCAGGAGGCTCGTGGGGAGGAGCATCTGGTCTGTCACCCGTCGAATCACGATGGACCTGTGTCCATGCCGATACCTCGTGCTCTTTCGCACACTTCCACATGAATCCTTTGCCTCAGTCAAGGCTTTCCCTGCAATGGATAGCAAAACTGACGAGAAGCAAACGATGAAGATCCTGTTGCCCCGTCTCAGAAAAAGCATCTCAATCCCGCCTGCTGAAACAAAGCCGGCCATGGGCGGCTTATCCTCACAGCTGGCCCGGAACCCACGAGGAACAGGCACCTTCCAAGCATGCAAACAACAGACATACATACTCATGCTCTATCTGGAGGCGCATGCAACGCGAGCAGACTTCCACAGTATCCATGCATGTACGAGACGCGGCTGCCCTTCCAGGATTGCGAAGGCCTAAAAACAGCCATCAGCATTGCCGAATCCTTCAGAGATTGGTGAGTCGCAAACGTTTCGTGCGAGCGACAGCGGATTTGACCCAGAATCACTGAGAATCTATAAGATTCAAAAAGGGTCGGAAGATAACTCATGCGTACTGGATCGTATACTGCGGGTCTTCGATGGGACACCAACACGCGTCAACATGCATGCACAGGCTTTGATGAGAGAGGCTTGAAACCGATCAACCGACATGTAATCAACAGATATTGGCGAGTGCTGAAGATGCATGCGTCTTCTTTGACTGATGCAGCTGGAGAAGGCATTCTCTCGTAGTAGCGGCGGCGCCTGCTGCCAGGAACCAATGGGACCCTGCAGCAAGCAAGAGCTCAAACTCAGTGACCTCCGGCAGATTCTGTATGTAACTTCTCAAAGGCCTCTCTCCACATGAAGCCCAAGCCAGCTCGCAAACCAGGAGGCTCGTTCATGTGGCGCTGCCATCCTCACATGACACAACTTGCCCGACTACCTTCTACATGACTCTGCAATCTCAGGCCCCACCGTCCTGGAATGCAAATTTGCGTCCAACCATGATCTCCGGGTTCGAAGCTCCACATGAAGCCTGCTCTTGCACTGCAAACTCTTTTTCTAGGCTACAGCTTCAGCTTACGAGCGACCGTCGGCGACGCATTCGTATACTTGGAATCTTGTAAGGTGACCGAAGAGAACAAGTCGGGCGGCGGACTGGGACCGTGTTCGGAATACGTAGCTCTTTGAAGTTTCTGATGTCTAGAATCTAGCGAGCATTGATTGCATGACTGCATGCAACTGCATGTTGCCAGCCTGGCCCGGCGGGCACGGAGGGCTGCGGGTTGAAACTGTTGGGCTGCCAATTTGGCACTGGCTGCTGCTGCCAAGCCTTGAAAGCGCAAGTTCTTGAAGATCTCTCACAACAGGCATTCTCGAAGAGTCTCAGTCACGCCGCATTTCCATGGTCGCTGGCAGCATAGACCCATCGCAGTCCCAGACCGGCTCGGCGCTCGCAGGGACGCTGCCGGTGGCTCAAACTCTCTGGGGCTAGAACCTCCAAGCACAGGGGAGGCTGGAACCTCTGAGAAGCGTAACGGAGGACCGCGCCTGCTGCCAGCCATCCGTGGAGCGATGGAACATATAGCCGACGCCCGCCTCGGTGTTGGATAAATGCTAAGAAGCCTAGGCGAGTCATAGGATGCTTCGTGCATCCGGGCGTCCGCATGCTGAGGGACAGATATGCCTTGCAGAAGCTTGACTCTGAGGGGAACTTGTGCCCAAATCCTGCCTGGCACGGACACTGCATGCGAGAGTGCCATTTGAACCACAAGCAAATAAATGAAACCACAACGAATCTTTGTGCTAGGTGTTGCGAAAGGGCATGGCGGGTATGATATCCCATGCACGAAATTCGCAAGCTGATAACAGAAAGCTTAGATGCTTTCCGAAGGCGAAACAAGCGACGTCATGTGCTCATGTGAGGCGGTGATGCTCCTGGAAGAGGCAAAGCAAAAGCCTGGGGAGGCAAACCGCGCCTCCGTGAGGTTCGGGAGTCTGCTCCCACATGAAGCCATCGCCGGCCGGGGTGGTCGGCGGTGACACGTGCCGTGCATGCGGAATGCATACCTCACAAGCTATTGGCCAGAGTGCTCAAGGCAGTCGCTTTGTCCCACCTGTTTCCAGCCATCGGCCGATCGATGCCACATGAAGCCAGATCCGGCCGCGATGTCCGGAGCCTTGCCAGAGAAAGGCACCTTGCTCAGCCTCGGCCGATGGGCTGCAAACAGACATTTCCCACATGCAAAACATGTTATCGGCTCACGAGCTGGTGCAGACACGCGACCGCCACAGTCCATCCTGTCGTGTCCACATGAAGCCCACTTTCGGAGGCTTCTCGCACACGTCAGCCGTCGCCGCCATCGCCGTGACTCTGGCTGCCGGGCTTGTCGTCGTCTCCGCTTTCTCCACCTCTTCCCCGGGCCGATGGGATCGTTCTTTGGGTTCGACCTTTGCTGCCTTGGCGGCCTGCGGCTTTCTGTAGTGGCAGCTCAGGTCTTCCATACGGCACCCCTTGCACGATGGACACCGCTGCAGGACTTCTTCACGGGCACGACTGCAATTTCCAACCTGCAAAATGCGCTCTTTCGAGCACTCAGTCCGCCCTGTTCAAAGGTGTCTAGGCTTGACAAACGGACACGAAAACCTCTGCAAAGAGGTCGGCCGCACGTTCTTCGCACGATGCAGTCCTCAGGCTTGCATGGAGCAAGCGCAGAGACTGGGGCAGTTCTGGCATGGCAGAAAACAAGCTCTCCATGTTGAGAGGAACATCCCGTTTGCGACCGTGGTTCTGCCCGTTGGTCTCGCAAGATCTGTCGCATGTGTCGCAACCAAAAAGTTCCTTGTCGCAACAAAACCTCTTCCTCGGCAGACGTCTTCGGGGCAATCGCTTGGTTCGACCGTAATACCAAACATCTTTGTCATTAAGTCCGCAGTCATGCTTCGAGGACACACCGGCACGATGCAGGTTCCGTTTGGAAGGTTGTAGAACAAATCGATGCATTACTATGCTGAATCTTGGCAGATGAAATAACCAAAACAGTACTAAACTGAACTGGAGATACACTAGCAGACAATCCAACACCCATCACCCCGATCTAGTCTTGCCTTGTTCGTACGAGGGCTGTGGATGGTAAGCACGGCTGACAAATGCTGAACTGTCACGACGTCTGCAACTGTGCTTGAAGAGAGCAAGGACACTGGCTTACAAGTACCTCGGTCCCTCATGTCGAACGGGCTTCAAAATTAAAGCTGAAGGGAAATCAAAGAGTCTTTGCCACTGACCAAGACGTCCTCCACTGCTGAAGCTGCAGTTGGCAATCGAACTCATCACAGCCGATGGCAACGAAGCTGCAGCAGAAGTGCTTCTTTGGCACGGACCAAGAGACATCCCATTGGTCTTGATCTGCTTTGCCTTAGTGCTCGGTAATGAGGCGACTCACCACTCGGCAGATGTCCCACATCAGCCCAAACGGTCGGCTGTACTGTCTGTTGCTTCACTGCAGTTCGCCTGGGCCCGGTGCAATCGAATTCAGGAGGTGATGTGGTCGCCCAGCAGCCGATCCCCCTCTCCGAGCAGCACCAGTCGCGCTCTTCAATCAGCCACTGCGCCGCAGTGCCACGACAACTGTATGTCACGGTCTCATCGTGAAAGGGGCTCCTCCGAAATCTCTTTTTCGTCTCTCTTCACCCCTTGACGTCGCATAGCCGCATAGCTAGACTCCGCATTCGATGACAAGCTGCCATCGGAAAAAACCTATCCCAAGTCTTCCCAAACCCCGAATCCTCCGGATCAGCAAAGCTCCGATCAGGTAGCCCAGCACAATTGCGATAAGGGCAACCAAGGCCAGGATCCTCCAGCATGAGCCCCTCAGCAAGTTCCAATAGCTCATTCCGGGATGCTTCCTGCTCTGGCCAGGCTAGGCCGACAACCCAGGCCGAGACAAGGCATGCAGCCGTGGCACCCACGAGTTCTTACCTCCTCTTTCTCGTAGTTGCCCTGCCCATCTCCGACGAACAACATCTGGTCGCTCCTGGCATTGGCATCTGCTGCAGCATGCGCTGTACTTCCGAACGACTACCTTGATTGTCACTAGCGGCCGCGTCCTCTTGTAGTGACCCCTTCCGTTGCCGACAAAAGTCCACTTCTCGTGCTTGGTCTCTGACATGCCTTGGACCAAACAACGGAACGAGCCGAAGGAAAAGGCAGCAAAAGAACTCCGTTTCACGGTCCCCCCTGAAATGAAACTAAGTCACCACAATCTGCATCTGTGCATTCATCCGCATCTACAGCCTCCTCGTCACCACTCACTCCTTCAGTTCTTCAGGTGCAACACATTGCTCCCAGTAATCAGTATAAAAGGAGCACAAAACCTTGGAGCATCAAACAGAGCGCAGCGCAAGGCACCTGTGTCAGCCTCTGCAACCGAGCGTCTGGTGTAGGCTTGGTCCTTTTCTGAGGATCTTGACACAGTGCGGGCAGGAGCGGCACCCGCAAACATGGCAGCAAGTGTTGGAGGGCCTGTTTGATGGTTTCTGCTTAGCGCTTCAACCGGCCTTTATCTCACAATTTTGTGCGATAGTTCCCCGGCAGAGAGGAGTTTCCTGCATTGTGATCCCTAGCTACCTCGAAGCCGGCCACGGCGACAACGCCAAGAGCTCTCCCTTGCTTATCGTCTTGCCAACAATCTCAAAGTGCTTGTCGGACATGTCGTGCCACATGCCACAGACTTGTTGCTCATGGACTTGATGCAGCAGCTGCACTGAGGTTCGTGCAGCACGCAGACCATTTGCCCAGCAGCGGGTGTCTGCCAAGTCCATATCACATCAGAGCAACCCGTGTTCACGACCCCGCTGACCGCAGCCATGCAAGTCAAAAAAAAGCTTCACCGGGACACGCAAGCCATTGCGACCTGACTGGGGCTTCATGTTTGATCTTCTGGATGGTCTGCTCTTCCCACCTCCGACCAAAGCTCTTGCGGGTTCGTATCAAAATGCAGCAGCTTTCGCTGGGTGCGTGGCCAGGCTTCGTCCTTGCCCTTTGGCGGAGGCCTAGGCGACAAGGTAATGCTGGGCCTGGTCATCCGAACTCCGGATGTGCAAAATGCACACCTCCGGCCGCTTCAATCGCTACGAGTATATGGAGGGAAGATCAGCACCCGACCATTGAGCCAGGAAAGGGAAGTCACCAGTTAGCAAGTTGTAAAGGATGACACCCGCCTGAGAATCGTAAGCAATCTCTTGACAGATGAACTAGCTGAGCACGACTGCCAGGATTCCTACGCTCCAAATGTCTGTCTTCACCGTCATTTGCTGGCGGAAGACCTGCGATGGGCAGTCACAGCGGCAGTTCATGTTAGAGAACCCATGATCACCTCACATCGCACAGCTGGCAAGCGCCAAGTGGCTCAGCCTCTGGTGCCATGTACAGCCTCGTGCCACCGATGAAGTTCGCGAACCTGACTTCACTATCGAACGGATGCCGCATTCGAGTCCCATCATCCGTCGAGCACCGAACTTCTGCATGGGGTTGAACAGTTCAGCTAAACCGAAGTCAATGACCTTGATGGAAGAGCTGTCCTGCCCAGGCGTTTGGTGCACCAAGAGGGCAGTTAAGCACGCTGTTCCGAGCATATTATGTTCTCAAGTTCAATTTCAGCTGATAAGCCTTGCGCTTGCAAGCTAGGCTCATCACAAAGTACCAGCAAGTGCTGCAGCCCCCACCTGGTCGACTAGCATGATGTTCTGAGGCTTCAAATCCTGGCAAATCTCATCATCAGATCGCCACATGCTAGTATGAGCAGCAGCGGCCGACATCCTTGTGCAAGAAAGGCTTCTTGTGCATGAAGGCCAAAGCCTGAGAAGACTTCGCAAAACAGAACGCACAGAGGAGATCTTGCTTGCTTGCTCGGCGTTTAGGGCGGGGGAATCGGATCCCCAACCCCTGCGCGAAAACGCTACGCCAGGTGTCCACGTCTCGTTTGGTCAGTGTGAAACGTTGAGGCTGTGGGTTCCAAGTGTCCTCCGTCTCTCTCCCTTCCGTCTCTCCCTCTCCCTCTCCCTCTCCCTCTCCCTCTCCCTCTCCCTCTCCCTCTCCCTCTCCCTCTCCCTCTCCCTCTCCCTCTCCCTCTCCCTCTCCCTCTCCCTCTCTCTCTCTCTCTCTCTCTCTCTCTCTCTCAGGGGAAGAGTCCACAAGTCGCCCCCTTCCCGGACTCGGCGGTGGAAGAGGCGTCTTCAGAGGTAGGAGAGTTTCCCGCCACGTTAGGTTTGGCCGGTGGTTTGCGCATGGTAAGGACCCAACCCTCCTTGCACCTTAGCCCGCATCGCGGCCTCATCCCCGTGCTCACTCAGGCACCATCCTTAATCCCTTGCCAGGCACACTCCCCTTACAGAAACAACGGTTGGATTACAATGGTTCCCCCGCTTGCAGATGAACCAACAACTGAAACACAACACGTGCAGGTCAGAAGGATAAGCGGGCTCCCCAAAAAGTCCACCTTAGGTAAAAGCTATGAAAACGTCTGTAACACTGTAAAAACGAAATCATGCCCCCAGTCAGGAGCGCAACGAGTTGGCGAAAGGATACCTCTCAAGGGTAACGAACTGGCAAAAGGATCCCAATCAAGGATGCTGAGTGTTTGACCTTAGTGCAGTGGCGCCCCAGACGGTGGTAGTGTTATGGCTCTGCGGCCCGTCCAATTATGCTTGGCTTTTGCAAGCGTGACTGAGGACTGCAAACGAAGTTGAACCAACAGCTTTCCCCTCAGAGTATACCTCAAAACTTTTTGCACGCGCTTCCCCCTCACTGTCTCAGTTCTCGGTCTGTCCTCTCCGCTTGGTGGTAGGGCTCCTCGTCGGCGGGCGTGTGGTCCTTTTCCTGCTCCTTCTTCTTCTTGTACTTTTTGCTCTTCTTCGCTTTGTCCTTCTTGTGCTTCCCCTTCTTTCCCTTCTCTGCCTTGTTGCTCGTCTCCGTCCTGCGTCTCTTTGGTCCCAACGTCTTCCAGGTGCTTGCCCCCGTTGTCTGTCTTCACGGCTGTCTTGAAAGCCGTAGGAACTGAGCAACTCGGGTGCTGGTCCTTTGAAGAGTTCGCCATCGAGGAAGACGTGGTACGAGTAGCACATGGAGATCACTAAGAGGAACCACCGCTCCGTCCCCCTACTGGCGGGCCACCCCTCGCAGGAGGGTCGAGGTCGGCTTCGGGAGGAAACAAGCACGGGGGGGCCTCTTAAGCCAGTGGCGGCAGGCGTGGAAACTCAAGCACCGCTGGAAGAAACAAGAAGGCTCCCCTTGAGGGCACAGCTCCAGGTTAACCCCTTCTCCCCCCCGACCAAAAGGGCGGCACAGGCCCCTAAGCACAGGTGCAGCACTTGAGCCAAAATGGCCACTTTCTTTCGCCAGGGCTATGGTGCAGGGGTTACCCCCTCTTGGCTACTCTCTTGCTTGCTTGCAGGGCGTTTGGGGCATGGGGTCGAACCCCATAACTTCTGCGCGCGAACGCTACACCGTGGCTACTCTCGCTCCCTCTCTCTCTCTCTCTGTGTTTCTTTCGCCAGGCATGAGGGGCGAGCCCCCCCAACCGTGGGGCTGCCCGCTGTTGACGGAATGCATGGTATTACATGCGAAAGGCTAGGACTACGAGCATCCAGCATCACTGACTCCACAATGACTGCATACACTGGCAACCTAGATTCCACAAACGACTGCATGCACTGGCAATCTATCGTGATGCATGGTCTGCCCTGCCAGCTGCCCTTGGACGGTTGTTCCGCCCCACATCAGTTCGCCCCACAGGTCAACCAAGTTCAGCTAGTAACCCCTACGTGCTGGCTCTCTCTCTCTCTCTCTCTACCGGGCTTGGGGATTAGGGCTCTCTCTCTCTCTCTCTCTGTCTCTGTCTCTCTCGGTTACGATTTGGTGATGGCCTTGGCTTTCGTGATTGCAGCAAACTGTGTTCACCAAAAGTCGCACCCCGCCAAATGTGCAGCCATGTGAACCCGCAGAGTCTGCTTCATCACGTCACACACGAAGGCCTCATCGTATGGCGCCTGCCGCTGAGGCAAGAAGTCAACAGCTAGTGAAAAGGCTGCCCGCATGCTGAGCAACACATGACGCTGCAGGGAAACCTTGCCAGTCTTTCGAAGCGCAGCAACCTGCGCTCTCATCTGCGCGCTTTGCAACTTTCAACGGCCGCGACGTATCTGCAGGCTGCACAGCGCCGTCCGTCCTTGTCTTGCAGCTCGCCGCCGTAGCAAGGTTCCATAATCTGACTGACCTTCTGCGGCCGTGCTTGGCAGCAGGAACCGCACCCCGTCCAAAGCCGCAGAGCTCGGAGCAAAGTTGGGTTCGTCGAAGTACTCAAAAACTTTGATGACCTCAGAAGCGCTTGATCAGGCAGAGAGCCTGGCAGAGCAAAGATTCAGTTCGAGCTCTGGGCGTTTGGATGATCCAGCATCGCCATGTTGCCAATCTCTTGCAGGATCTGTTGACTTGTCATATCAGACCTAAGTGCAGCATCAAACATATTTGAGCCTGCCCAGCCATTGAGGCAACAGAAACGTGGAGGCGCCCACTTGGTCTTCCAGATCTTCTTGCAAACTCGACGTTCACCGGACAACTGCAGGGCGCGGCTTGCACTCTCCCACAGTCACCACCAGCTACAAAGGCAAGTCAACAACTTCTCACCTGGAGCTGGCCAGGATATTACAGGAGGCTCGGCGGGTGACCACTTGGCTTCGTCGAGGGTGCGTTGGACCCAGGCGAGGACCCAGCTTGTGACGGTACGCTGCCACACCAATGCCATGGTGCCAAGCTCTACCACTGTGCCAAACCCGGCTCCCTCGCTCGCACCTTGTGGTCCACTTCGTAGACGGTGCCGAAGCTTCCCTCTCCTTAACACTCCCATGCGACTACGCAGGTGGGGATGTGTGAAGGTTTGATAGCTATGTAATGTTGATTACTGCACTGCCAGTACTCACACAAAGTACTACTACTGTTACTAGCACTCAGCACGAGGACGGATACGATAGTCCAGATAGCCGAATGAATCGCAAGCATTGGATTCCGAAGTCTTAGGCGAAGCTTCGATGCATAGATCATTCAGGGCCAGGGTCCATTGTTTGGGAAGCATGGTAAAGACAAGAGAGTGCGTACCAACCTTTCGGGAAAGCCAAAGGCTCCGACCGAGCTTCTTGCCAATTGCATAGACCTGACAGTTAGGCAATATCTTCCACGGCGTGCTGTGTTGCGTGGCAGTGCTTGCCGGTTGCCGCCTCTTCCAAAGGGCGCTTGTTCTGCTTCACGAAGCTTGCAGTCGAGACCTCGCTAAGAGGAGGAGATGTGGATTCACCTCGCAGACCGTAGCAGAGCTTGCGACCGGCAAAATCTCCGGGAACCAGGAGCGATAGCGATCCTGAAGAGACTGCGGCCCTGAGGTCTTGCGCAGGTCACGCGGAGCGCTTCCGACTTCCCCGCCTCCAAAACGGTGCGGCTCAAGGCCAGAAT